TCTGCAAGAAAACAACCAAGCTCAGAGAGCACCAAGGACCCCTCATGTCAACCCTGAGCTACAGATGTTCTCCTTTATTGGTGTTTAACCTGCTTACAGGAATCATCCAGCTCAGGCATTGCAGTGTCTCTTTAAATCTATAGTAGTCAGGGTAAATAGTCCAGTCCAGTTTCTTCTTAAAAGCCTCCACTTACGACTACAATTGAGCACCAAAATTGTCCCTAAGCAAGACAGTTTTTAAGTAAATTTTGCCCCATTTTATGGCCTTTGAATTTTGATCATGTGACTCTGGAGATGCTGCAATGGTCATAAGTGGAAAACGGTTACAAGTCAATTTTTTCAGCATAATAAGAGTTGGAAGGGACCTTGGAGGTCTTCTAGTCCAACCTTCTGCTCAAGCTGGAAACCCTATACCATTGCAAACTATCCAGACTCTTCTTAAAAGCCTCCAGTGATAGAGCACTCTGGAGGCAAACAGTTCCACAGATTAATTGTTCTAATTGTCAGGAAGTTTCTCCTTAGTCCTAAGTTGCTTCTCTCCTTGATTAGTTTCCATCCATTATTTCTTGTCCTGCCTTCAGGTGCTTTAGAGTAGCGGTCCAAAGTGGGCCGCAGAGAAATGTCACCCCAGAGGACTCCCCCCCAAAGCAATTAATCCAGGCTGTGCAGAAACACAAGGCTGCGCAGCCCATATGGCCCGCGGGAACCCTCCCCACCCACTCACTCCTTACCCGGCAAACTTGCCTGACAAAATTGCTATTTTTCCTTTTTCCGACCATCAGCTGTTCTGCTGTGCCGGGAGATTTAGATTAGCAAGGAAACAGGAAATGGTTGGATTTCTTGCTTTCTAGCTAGTCTTTAGATCTTTGGCTCTGCTTTTAAGCACAGCCGAACCTCCCGTAGGATTGAAGTTTCTATTATTCAGTGCAGACTCACAGCAAGCATATTTTATGTGACAGACTGAGCTAGCCGATGGCAGATAGATAGATCACTGAATGATTCTGTGAGCAACTCAATCTGCCTGCCTGCTTTGCCTAATTTGGGGTAAAAGTTGCTCTTTTTTTTAATAAAAAATTCAATATTTACATACATGGCGTGTTGTGAGTTAATTTTGTGAGTTTGCTTGCTAGCAAATGTTATGAATTTGCTTGCAAGCAAATTTTATGTGACAGACTGAGCTAGCCAATGGCAGATAGATAGATCTCTGAATGAATCTGTGATTCTGTGAGCAACTCAATCTGCCTGCCTGCTTTGCCTGATTTTGAGTAAAAGTTGCTTTTTTATATTAAAAAAAAAATCAATATTTATATAAATATTTATAATATTTACATACAAGCCATGCCCAGCCAGTCACATGACCACCAAGCCACACCCATAAATTAGACAACACCCACAGAACTGGTTAGTGGTCCCTGGGATTTAAAATTATGAGTTTGGTGGTCCCTGAGGACCAAAAGGTTGGCAACCCTTGCTTTGGAGAATAGCTTGACTCCCTCTTCTTTGTGGCAGCCCCTCAAACATTGGAAGACTGCTATCGTGTCTCCCCTAGTCCTTCTCTTGATTAAATTGACATGACCAATTCCTGCAACTGTTCTTCATATGTTTTTTTCCTCCAGTCCCTTGATCATCTTTGTTGTTCTTCTCTGCACTCTTTCTACTGTGTTTCCCCGAAAATAAGACCCTGTCTTTATTTATTTTTTTGGCCACCCAAAAAAGGCACCAGGTCTTATTTTCAGGGAATGTCCTCCACTGACCAACCTCACTTGTGCGTATTGCCCCCAGCCTCCTTTTCGCTGTCAGAGGCCTTCAGGAACTTCTGTGGCCGGCAAGGCTTTCCTGAAGGCCTCTGCAGCCAATAACAGAGCTCTGGATCGATCCAGAGCTTTGTTACCAGCTACAGAGGCCTTCAGGAAAGCCTTGCCGGCTGCAGAAGAAATGGGCCGACAAGGCAGGTGTCAGGGTGTGCGAGGCCTGGTTAAAACTGTCCAAAGGTAAGTAGTAGGGCAGCTACACACACACACACGGTTAATTTTTACCCGTCCACTCTGGAGTGGCGGGAACTTAATCAGGGCTTATTTGGGGGTTAGGGCTTATATTGGGCGCACGTGTAAAAACCAAGCTAGGACTTACTTTCAGGGTAGGTCGTATTTTCGGGGAAACGGTAGAGCCTCAACATCTTTTCTATAGCGTGGTGACTAAAACTGGATGCAGTATTCCAGGAAAGGTCTCACTAAGGCTTTATAAAGCGGTACTAGTAACTAGCAACAGTTGCTAAACAATTATTGTAAATTGAGGACCACCTATACTTGACAACACAAGTAGAAATGTTCTCCTGTCTCTATAGACTTCCAACTTCTGCTTCCTCTTCCCGGTTGATTAAATATTTGAGGGTACCCTGACATCTACTGGCGAAATCAACGCAGACAAGACTCAAAATTGAGGCAGGAAAAAAAAAAACCTGGAAGCCACATCATCGCCCTATTAATTCAGATTCCGTTCGCAGACAATTAATTATTCTCAGTTCTTTTTCACCAGTGCAATTAGCAGTCTGGGGATTTGGTTATAATCAGTGCAATGACTGCACGTTTGATTTTTCTTGCCTAATTCAGCCACCTCCTCTGTTCTCCGTTGAATTTGATGCTCTCATTTCCTACTATTTTTTGTTTGCAACTTCCCTGGATTGCTTTGTGGTTCTCAACTATTAAGTGTGTGTCCACCAGCGGCCAGAAAAGCCAATGCAATCCTAAATTGCATTTGCAGAGGAATACAATTGAGATTGAGTGAGGTGCTAATGCCACTTAATAAAGCCTTAGTAAGACCACACCTAGAGTACTGGATCCAGTTTTGGTCACCACACTATAAAAAAAAAAGATGTTGAGACTCTGGAAAGAGTGCAGAGAAGAGCAACCAGGATGATTAGGGGACTGGAGACTAAAACATATGAAGAACGGTTGCAGGAACTGGGCCTGGCTAGACTAGGGAAGAGAAGGACCAGGGGAGACATGATAGCGGTCTTCCAATATTTGAGAGGCTGCCACAGAGAGGAGGAAGGGGTCAAGCTATTATCCAAAGCACCCAAAGGCCAGACAAGGAATAATAGATGGAAACCGATCAAGGAGAGAGATTCAACTTAGAAATAAGAAGAGATTTTCTGACAGTGAGAGCAATCAACCAATGGAACAGAAGTTGCCTTTGGAAGTTGTGGGAGCTTCATCACTGGAGTCTTTCAAGAAGAGACTGGACTGCCATCTGTCAGAAATGGTGTAGGGTCTCCTGCTTGGGCAGAAGGTTGGACTAGATGACCTACAAGGTCCCTTCCAGATTAACAATCCGTAAATCTCTAATCAACCCAAGAGAAATTGAAGTGCCGGTGACAACGTTGTCTTCTCTTTCTTGAGGTCTGCAATTGCTTGAGAAATCCTTCGCTTAGGCCAGTGTTTTTCAAACTTGGCAACTTTTAAGATGTTTGGGACTTCAACTCCCAGAATTTCCCAGCCAGTGACCAGCCTAAAAACTCATAGTCTCCTGGTTCCCAGCTTGGGGGCTTAATCACTACACCAAACTGCCTCGCTTGAATGCTTTAAAATACAGCCATACAGTTAGTCCTCGACTTAAACGACCACAATGGAGCCCACAACTTCAGTTGCTAAGCAAGACGGTCGTTCAGTGAGTTTCGTCCGATTTTACAATCTGCCTTGCCAATGTTGATAAGTGAATCGCTATGGTTATAAAGTTAGTTAACATGGTTGTTAAGTGAATCCGGCCTCCCCCTTGACGTGGCTTGTCACGAAGGTCACAAAAGGGGGTCATGTGACTCAGGGACTGTCAACTCATAAAATATTTCTATGGTCTTTTTAGAGCTGCCAACAGAAAGGGAGGGGGGAGCAGTGCGGCAGCTTGGAAACCAAAAGTGCATTCCATAAATAGTTTTTCAAAGATAGTAACTAGGTGACCGAAGTTTCTGCAGCGCAAATATCTAACTGGAGAGCATGATTGATGACTCTTGGCTATGGAGGTGTCCCATTGGAGAATATACATCCAGGGGGTGGGGGAAGACCAGGGTCAAGGGTGACAATGAATGAGGTGTCTCAAAGTCAGCTACACCCAGGCAGTGCTGGACAGTTTAACTCCCAATAAATCCTTTTGAACTTTCGTAAGTTTGGCTCAAGACTCATGATTTAATTGGGGGAACTGCCGGAATCCTGACAGGGACAATGCAACCGTCATAAATACGAATCATTGGCCAAGTGTCTTGGGATTTTGATCACCTGACCCTGAGGATGCTGTGCAGTGATTTTCAAGCGGGCAAATCAACGCGGAGTCGCTTGTTCAGTGCTGTCGTAACTTTGAACGATCACGAAGCGAAAGGTTGTAAGTTAAGGACTATCTGTAATTGATAAAGCCACGGTGTTGGAGTCAGATCTTCAGAGAATTCTTATTCTTTCTTTCTTTCTTTCTTTCTTTCTTTCTTTCTTTCTTTCTCTCTCTCTCTCTCTCTCTCTCTCTCTCTCTCTCTCTCTCTCTCTCTCTCTCTCTCTCTCTTTCTTTCTTTCTTTCTTTCTTTCTTTCTTTCTTTCTTTCTTTTTGCATCATTTAGGAATGAAGACCGGGAAAGGGCCTGGAGAGCATCTCGTGAAACGAAATTGGAGACCATTCCAAACTGTGAATCCTGGTGAGTTTTATTGTGTGTTTGTTTTTTGCAACACTTGAAACTCTTTTGTTCCGCCTGTCTGGTGGCATTCTCACAACCTGCTTGAATCTGGCTGCAGATTCAGGTTGCATTCACACCGCAATCCAAGCCAGGCCAGTTGAAGATCTGGTCAGATGGGTTTGCAAGACCTTTTACCGAAGTTTGACTTGGCGAGTTGCCCAGAGTTGTTGCCTGTTGGGCATTGTACAAATAAACAAGAAACTTGTTTGTGTTGAATTTCTGTTTTTACCAACAAAGAAACAAAGGGAGACTAGTATAAATCTGTTTAGCTGTCATCAGCTAGCCATACCCTTCTGGGATTCGAATCCAGGCTACTTGCATATTAGTTAGATGTATTAACCTCTAAGCCACGGGCTTTCCTCACTTTGTCGGCTATGCCAGGGGAGAGACTAAGAAAGAGGAAGCAGTATGCTCTGTCCCATTCTTGGGTAGACTAGGTTGCCCTTATAGACCAGTCTAACTGGAAAAAACACTTAAGAAGCTTGCTTGGTTTGAAATCAGGGTTAGGTTTATGGTGGCCTCTTGTGCTGTGTCAGCTTGTTTGGTTGGTTGAAATGGGTTGTACAAACCCAGAACAATTAGGCTGAACTTAGCCGTATTGTTTAAGGCAGGGGTCCCCAACCACCGGTCCGCGGACCGGTACCGGTCTGTGGAACAAGTCCTACCGGGCCGCTGGTTTGCTGGGCGCCGCCATCTTTTTTTGATGAAAAAGTGCTTCCGGTGAGCTTTTCCGGGTAGAAAGCTAACCGGAAGCACTTTTTCATCAAAAAAAGATGACGGCACCCAGCTAATGCCGGTACCGAGCCGCGCCATAAAAAAGGTTGGGGATACCGGGCCGCGGCATCAGAAAGGTTGGGGATCACTGGTTTAAGGAACGTGTTTTTGGACCCCTTCATCAGTGGTGGGATTTAAATAATTTAACAACCGGTTCTCTGGCTGGGTAGGTGTGGCCGGGTGGTCATGTGACTGGGTAGGTGTAGCCAATTCAACGTCACTCATCACACCCAGCCCCACCTCCCGACCACTTGCCTCAAAGGCAAAGGTGGGATTCAGCATTTCTGACCGGTTTGGACTAATTCCACCACTGGTTGGCCCCACCTTTGGCCGTTTTCCGGGCTGTGTTTTGAAAACTGTCCGAAAAATGGACGGGGCGGGTATCAGGTTTTCAAGTGGTGAAATCCATTTAAAAAGAAAAGAGCAAAGTCCATCTTCCAAAACAATTTATTTTATTTAGGAAAGCATCAAATTGGCAAAGTCCATGCTAATTCTGGATACTGTGATGATTGAGGACCAATCTTAAGCTACTTTTTACAGTGCCATTATAGCTTTGAGTGGTCACTAAACGAATAGCTGTAAATTGAAGACTACCTGTAGGGTGTTTTTGAAAGCCTCCAGTAAAGGAGCGTGAAAGCTCTAGAGCACTACTTCGCAATCCTGTCAACTTTAAGACATGTGGGCTTCAACTATGAAAGTTGACTTCAACTGTTGAGATCAACTGGTTAAGGTGAGGTGAGTTGTGTTGTCGAACTGTTAATATGTTTCTAATAACAAACTTTGATTGAATATGACTGCCTTGGATTATTCATTCTGGAAACGTATTACTTGGAAGTTGAGATGAATTGAGTTGTGGGTTAGTTGGTTTTGAGTTGTTGAAGTTGACTTCAACTGTTGAGCTGATTTGGTTGAGTTGTGTTGTTGACTTGAATTGGTTGAGTTGGGTTGTGTGATCTTCAATCATTAAAGTTGACTTCAACTGTTGACTTGAACTGGTTGAGTTGAGTTGTATGGTTTTGAGTTGTTGAAGTTGACTTCAATTGTTGACTTGAACTGTTGAATCGTGTTGTTGAATTGAACTGGTTGAGTTGAATTGAGTTATGTGGCCTTCAGTTGTAGAAGTTGAGATGAATTGATTGAGGTGAGGTGTGTTAAACTGATTGAGTTGAATTGAATTGAGTCGGGTGGTCTTAAATTGTTAAACTGTTGAGTTGAACTGGTTGTGAGGTGAGATGGGATGAGATGATATGTGGACTTCAACTGTTGAAGTTGATTTCAACTATTTGGGTTGAAGTCCACAGGTCTTAAAAGTTGCCAAGGTTAAGAAACACTGCTCTAGAAATTATGTAAGAATTACCAAAATCTCGCTCCAATAACACATTTCCTTCTCCTCCTCTTCCTCTTCTTTCCACTATGACTCACTCTACCATGCTTTGTTTCTGCTGGATCGCGGCTCCTGTGACTTCAGCACCAAACCCACCACCGAAGAAGTCAAGGGCTGGTCTCAGTCGTTTGACAAGTTGATGAAAAACCCAGCTGGCAGGAACGTGTTTCGGGAATTCTTACGGACTGAATACAGCGAGGAAAATATGCTCTTTTGGTTAGCTTGCGAGGAACTCAAAAGCGAATGCAACAAGCATGCCATCGACGAGAAAGCGCGGGTGATCTATGAAGATTATATCTCCATCCTTTCTCCCAAGGAGGTATTGCCTTTCCTATTTTATTCCAGCATCCCAAAATGTTTCAGATACCAAATGCAGATACCGGTTTTAATTCAAATGGTAATTGGTAGTCCCCAGGTCCTTCTCCTCTTTGCAGTCCAGAAACTTTTCCAAGGTTTTCTCACTCCACCTGAAGACTACACTCTATATGCCCATGATGGCAAACCTATGGCACGTGTTCCACAGGTGGCACACAGAGCCATTTGTGCGGGCACGCGAGCCCCAGCCAAACTTACCTGCACTGCGCATGTGCGCGCCTTCCAGCTGATTTTCGGCCTGTCTGAGGCCGTTTTCACCCTCCTGGAGGCTCGAAGGAACCCATATATTTCCGGAAGGCCCATTTTTCGGCCTCCCGAGGCTGCAGAGGCTTCCCTCAAGCCTCCGGGAGGGCGGAAACGGCCTCAAACGGGCCGAAAATCAGCTGGGAGGCGCACGCATGCGCCGTGTAGGTAAGGGAGCGGGGGAGAGATGATGCGCAGGGAGGGTGAGGGCACATTGCTGGCACACACACTGTGTGCTTTCGGCACACCACAACCAAAAGGTTCGCCATTACTGCTCTGTGTAATTATTGGCAAGTGAGTATTTTGACCATATCATTATTTTTATGCCTATTTTCCACGTCCAAGCTGTATAAACTGGAATGCTTAGTGCAGGCGTCCCCAAATTCTGGGAGGTGAAGTCCACAAGTGTTAAAGTTGCCAAGTGTAGAGAGACCTCTGGCTTAATGGATGTAAGCATATCAGGAGGTGTTCGTTTGTATAACGAGGGAGGGTGTGGCCTAAGGAGGTCAACACCCTTTAATCAAGGTGTGCACAATTATCAGGCAGCTTCTTTTCCTCAGGCAAAAACAGGCCAAAAAAAGAGATTTAACTGACTCTTAAAAAGTCAAACATTGCAAAAAGTCTTTCAGAGGCACACAGCACCCTTGAAATTGGTAAAAAATTTGGGGTGTGATCCCAGAATCGTCAAAACATTTTATTGCAAATAGTCAACCTGTATTTATTTATTTTTTTGAAATGTCAGAAATGTTTACTGGTGAATTTTGAATTGTTTGTTTATTATTCTCACTTTCACAGATGAGTGAGGTGGGAATTTTTTTTTCATTTTTCATTTAGTTGCATAATTATTCTGCCCTCTAATAGTTGCCCAATAATTGTGCACGCGTAGATATTTTCCTAAGAAAGCCAAAACCTTGCTCTTACTTTCTTTAAATATTCAAGGTTTGGAGTTTATTGACATTTTGGATTGACCGAGAGCACTGTAGTTGTTTCAATAATAAAATTAATCCTCAGAAACAAAACTTGCCTAATAATTGTGCACATGGTGTAAATTCCTTCATGTTTGATCACATGATACTTATTAATATTAATGGGTAGGCTGTCAGGATTCCGGCAATTGCCCTAATTAAATCATGAGCCTCAAGCCAAGCGTCAAAAACGTTTTATGAGTTTGCATACATATCGTCAGTCATAGTAGGTCTAAATCTGTTTAAATCTCAAAAAGCCAATGCAATTCTAGGTTGCATCAACAGAGGGATAATAACTTCGTTATCACAAGCAGTGATAATCCTGCTTTCTTTCTTTCTTTTCTTCTTTCTTTCTTTCTTTCTTTCTTTCTTTCTTTCTTTCTTTCTTTCTTTCTCTTTCTTTCTTTCTCTTTCTTTCTTTCTTTCTTTCTTTCTTTCTTTCTTTCTTTCTTTCTTTCTTCTTTCTTTCTCTTTCTTTCTTTCTTTCTTTCTTTCTTTCTTTCTTTCTTTCTTTCTTTCTTCATTCATTTATTTGATTTATATTGCCGCCTATTTGCCCATGGCGACTCAAGGCGGCTTACACAATGTGAAACCATATTTAAAACAAAAATAAAAATAAAAAACAATAAAAACTAACAAAAAGAATCAAATAAATTAGTAAAGTACAATAGAACAAAATTTGGGGAAAACGAAAACCAACAACACCCACCCCGCCTCGACGACAGCAGATCACGCCAGCCATTTGATGGGCTCCATCCCGCTCTGGGTTCTCCAGGCCCACTGGCAGAACCAGGTCTTCAGCGCCTTCCGGAAGAGTATTATCGAGGGGGCTGTTCTAATCTCTGGGGGAATGATGTTCCAGAGAGAGAGGGAGCCACCACGGAGGAGGCCCTTCTTCTGGGTCCCACCAGGTGTATCTCCCTCAAGGGTGGGACCCACAACATTCCCTGCCTCCTTGCTCTAATGGGTCAGGTAGATGTGACTGGCAAGAGATGTTTCCTCAGATAACCCGGACCCAAGCCATGAAGGGCGTTAAAGGTGACAACTATATATTTATACTGCAGGGATGAGGCCACACTTGGAATACTGCATCCAGATCTGGTTTCCATAATCAAGAAAAGAAGTTGAGACTAGAAAGAGTGCAGAGAAGACAAGCAAGAATGATAAAGGATCGGGAAACTAAATTGTATGATGAACAATTGAGGGAACTGGATGTGTCTAGCCTAATGAAGGAGAGGATTAGGGGGGTCACATGATAGCTGCCATACAATATTTGAGTGGCTGTCACAATGAAGAGGGGACAGACTTAATTCTCCAAAGCATCTTGAGGACAGAAAAAGAACTAACAAGCGTAAGATCGTTCAATATAGATCCAATCTAGAACCAAGAAGAAAATTCTTGATAAATTTCTTCCTCTTGTTTTCTTCCCACAACTACACTGGGAGGTGTGTTGGGCTGAAAAAGAAAGAATAGCCCAAAGTCACCCAGCTGTCTTTCATGTCTAGGGTAGGACTAGAATTCCCAATCTCCTAGTGATTAGTCTAGTAACTCAACCAGCTTTCATGCCTAAGGTGGGCCTAGCGTATTCAGTCCCCTGGTAATTGGCCCAGTCCCCCAGCTGACTTTCAAGTCTAAGGCAGAACTAGAACTCCCAGCCTCCTGGCTTCTTAGCCTTAACCACCAGACCCAGCTGACCCTCCCTTGATTGACAGCCCCCCCAAATCATCTCTCGTGTTTTGTCCACCCTCCTTTTCCTCAGGTCAGCTTGGACTCCCGTGTCCGTGAAGGCATCAACCGCAAGATGCAGGAGCCCTCCTCGCACACCTTCGACGATGCGCAGCTACAGATTTACACGCTTATGCACAGGGACTCCTACCCCCGTTTTCTGAACTCAGCCATATACAGAGCTCTGGTCCAGAATGTCTCTCGGTCGTCTTCGGAGTCTTAAGCCCTTTCTTTACCATTGATAGAGACACCAAGCGAAGGATTTCCTTTCCTACAGCAGGTGTTATTGGATTCCTCCCCCCTCTTCTTCTTTTAAATATATATATATATATAAATATATATATATATATATCTCCCAAATGAGCTTACAGAACAAAATAGACTGAAGACATAACCCAGCTCGGTTCTGACCACAGACACTAGTCCCGTCGTTGGAAAGGTCACTCCACAACTTCCTGCCGGTTTTTTCTTCCTTCAGAAAAGGGGCCCATGCCAGCCGCCATCAAGAACTCCAAACTCAGGCTTCTACTTCCATTACAGAATCTGGGTCGGCCCCCCAGCTTAAGAGATGGAGAACGCTGAACGGAGCAAGCGACCAACAACGGATTGGGAGGTTGTTCTCTGGGGCCACGTGGCAGAAGAAACTAGGCCAAAGCCCCCCACCTCTCCTGAACGTTTCGATCTCTCGGATCTGTGTTTGTTTTTAAATTCCTTCCGTGTTTATTAAGAATTATTTCCACGGTGTTCTTGTAGACACAACGATCTCAGATGGTTCGCGTGGGAAACGGTGGTTAGGCCAACGTTAATGGGATTAAGAGACGTTCCGATGTTATAAAAGTACGTTCAGGTTTTCCGCATCTCGAATGCTTTTTCCGTTCACGGTTTATTCTAGGTAGGGTTCCCTCACCTCGGTTGGAGAGGAAGCAGGGGACCTCTTGGCTCTGATGCGGAAGCTGTGAGAGAAAGCCAAGGTTCTGACCCAGCTCCCCAAACACGACAAGCCCTCTGTATTCAAATCAATGGTTCCTTGGTTTAAGGAGAGAGCTGGCAGAGAGAGGGACAGAGGTGGAACCTGAGCCGTCCGTCAGCCCTCAAAATGGAGCGCCAGCAGCCCCGGCAAAAAGTTTCTCTCTCAACACAGGCTAACAAGTCCATCCAACCGGGGGATGAATAGTTGTCTACCACATCTATTCATCTCCACCCCCTGCCTTTTATCCCCAGAGCTAGGGTGGGGCTTCGCTAGCAGCGGTGGCTCTTCCGTCCCAAGGACCGGCCCATAGATTTCCAATGCTCTCCTCTCCTCTGCCTTCTGTGCATCTGCATGTCAGGCACTGGGCCCGGCTGTTCCTGCTCTTCTCCCATCAGCCACCTCCAGACCTGGGGGCTGTTGGCTCCCCACCTGAGGGCTGATGGGCGGCCCAGGCTTTGCCTCCATCTCTGTCTCTGCCAGCTTCGTTCCCTCTTCCCCCCCCTCAGAGCTCTCAGGTTGCCTTGATGCTGGCCCAGGACCTTGGATGACTGAGAATCTCCAGAGACATCTATGATCCTGTGGAAGCGGTGAGCTCTGGGCTGCTTCCGTAACGCTGGGACAGCCATTCCAGGTGACCCAAAGTTCTGTAGTACCAACTGCCAGTGCCAGCATATTGGGAGGGTGATGGGTTGCAGAATAGAAGGACTGTGGGGTCCTTGGTGCTCTCTGAGCTTGAAGACATTTCATGACCCAACTAGGTAACATAATCAGTGTTGGAAGGGAGTGAAGTAAACAGTCAAGCAATTACCAAGTCCACTAACAATCCAATAATAAATAACCTAATCAAGGAGCCACCAAGGACACTCCCACCAACACTGACAGGGCAAGACACTGGTATATAAAGAGCAACACACACCCCTTCTAGCACTGATGATGTTACCTAGTTGGGTCATGAAATGTTTTCTTGCATTTCATGACCCAACTAGGTAACATCAGCGGTTACCAAATTCAGACAGCACCAAGGACACCGTAATTATCGTTGTCGTCCTCTCTATAAACCCCACTCCTTACTGCACTGGTGATGTTACCTAATTGGGTCTTGAAACATCTGCAAGAAAACAACCAAGCTCAGAGAGCAACGAAGGCCTCACAGTTCTATCTTCTGCTTCTATTGATAATCCCGAGGATCCAGTGAAAGAGGAAAGAGTCAAGCTGTTTTCTAAAGCGCCTGTAGGCCAGACAAGGAATAAGGGATGGAAACTGAACAAGGAGAGATTCAACCTGGAAATAAGGAGAAATTTTCTGACAGTGAGAACAATCAACCCATGGAACAGAAGTTGCCTTTGGAAGTTGTGGGAGCGCCATCCCTTGAGACCTTCAAGAAGAGATTGGACTGCCATCTGTCAGAAACGGTGTAGGGTCTCCCGCTTGGATGAGGGGTTGGCCTAGATGACCTACAAGGTCCCTTCCAACTCTGGTTATCTGTTAAGATGGTCTAAGAATGGGGAGCTGGATCTGGTGGATGGGCCTATCCTCCAGGATCATTACACTTCATTGTAGGTATAGTTTGGATCCCTGTTAAGGGATGAGACATCTCTGGATGGTGCAAACTCCACCCTGTTCTGCTCTTGAGGTTGCCACCCAAACGAGGGGTCTCTAACCCTGGCAACTTTAAGCTACACTACATAAGAAGCTGGCTGAAGAACTCTGGGAGTTGAAGTCCACAAGTCTTAAAATTGCCAAGGTTGGAGACCCCTGAACCAAACCATGTTATTTCTCAGCCACTGTCCACTAGACCAGTGCTCTCTATGAATTCCCTCACTCGTGAATGTTAACTTCCTAACAGTGAGGACAATTGACCAGTGGAACAGCTTGCCTCCAGAAACCTCCACCACCATACACACAACTTTGAAATCACGCTGAATTAACCACACTTCATAATTAGCTGAATGGATCCAATTACTTTCCCCATCTTGAATAGCTCCAGTAAGAATGAGAACGCTTTGGGATACAGTAAATATATATTATTATTTCGCAAAATATATAAACAGTGAACTTGAGAGTGGATCTGCGGACTGAAATGTTGTAGTTGCCGTATTTGGCATTTTCTCCAGTTGGCGCAGGGACAAAATGGCTGCAGAAATCTGGCCACATATACACCCAGCAGTGGCCCTGGTGATTTGTGTGTTGACATTTGTAATGTCAAATCCTTTCCTCTCTAATATTGAACCCATCTTTCCTTCTGCAAAACTCTGAGCATTTTAAAAAAAAGAAAAAGATTTTCCACTCATTGTAGCTTTGAGTTGAAAGGTATCTCGGAAAGAGTAACAAAGACCTTTCTTGTATATTTCCCATGGCTTTTCATTTTCCCACTGAAACTAGGCAAGGGAAGGTTTGAATATACAGGTAGACCTCAACGTACAACCATAATTGAACCCAAAATTGTGGTTGCTAGGTGAGACCAGTGTTATCTGAGTTTTGCCCCATTTTATGACCTTTCTGGCTACATTTGTTAAGGGAATCACTGCAGTTGTTAGGTTAGTGACACAGTTGTTAAGTGAATTTTTGTTTTGTCAAAAGGTGATCGCATGACTCCGGGATTGTGCGACCGTCATAAATATATGCCAGTTGCCAAGCGGCTGAATTTTGATCATATGACCAATAGAGTGTAGAAAATGAATATAAATTACTTTCTTGTTGTGTAACCTTGGTCACTAAGTGGTTGTAAGTTGAGGATTTCAACTTACTGAGTTAAATTATTTTCCTTGATCCACATAATATATTCACTGGTGACTAACCAAACAGTCTGCATGGGAATAACACACTAAGTCCCCCAAAAATCTAACCGAGATTCACCTTAATTAAATTAGTTTTTGGTGTAAATTACTTCATCGAACTACTGCATTTGCACCGAAGAACTTCCGGGTCAAAAGGATTTTCCAGTCACATCATCACTATCTGGGAGACACCTAGTTGGGGGCTCTTTTCACGTCCCTATTAAGTTGCCCGCCGAAGTGGTACCCATTTATCTACTTGAGGTCGCCCGCTTTCGAACTGCTGGGCTGGCAGGAGCTGGAGCGAGTGTTGGGAGCTCACCCGCCACTTGGCAGCAACAGGGGCTCGAACACAAGCCTGCCAATCAGCAGCTCAGCATCGTAACCATGTGAGCCCCTGTGCTCCTATTGGATCCTAAATAAATACGTTGGGTGAATCTAGCCATCAGTTTTCCTTTTTCTAGGGATGATTTGATGTTCGACTTGGCTCCCGAAGGAAGGATTTGACAACCACCAAACTGCTATTTTGGCATGGCAGCTGGGTCAAAAAAGTCAGAGCAAAAAAACCCCAAAAAAATAACTTTAGGAAACATTTTAGCCTTCTTCATACTTTCCTCACTACATCTGATGGCTTAAAATGGCGTTTTTTTTCCAAACTTGGCCACTTTAAGATGGGTGGACTTCAACTCCCAGAATTCCCCAGCTGGCCATGTCGGTCCTGCTTTAGGCTGGTTGCTGGCTGTGGAATTCTGGGAGTTGAAGTCCACCCAACTTAAAGTGGCCAAGTTTGAAAAAACATTGACTTAAGATGAGGCAGCCTACAAGGGCCCCATCCTGGCCTTCTCCAATTATGTCCCCCTCGCTCATGGTTTCATATCTTCCTGTTTGGAGACATTTAAGTTACCTCAGAACTGCAGATTGTATGGCCTCATGTTCAACTGAACGCAAATCGTGTGTTATTTTCCCAAACCTTGGTCACACACAACAAGTTCAGCCTACTCGTTGGGTTAATCTATTACCAGGGTTTACATAATGCAAGCGAGCCATAAGCTTACTACAGGTAGTCCTCAACTTAACAACTGCAATTTGAGCCCAAACTAAGTGCTAAGTTGCTAAGTGGGGCAGATAAAGTGAGTTTGGCCCCGTTTTATGACTTGTTCAATTAGTGACACAGTTGTTAAGTGAATCTGGCTCCCCCCCCCATTGATTTTGCTTGTCAGAAAGTTGCAAAAGGGATTATGTGACTCCAAGACGCCGCACAACCGTCATAAATACAAGTCGCAGAACGTCCGAATTTGAATCCCGTGACCCTGGGGATATTGCTATGGTAACAAGGGTTTTAAAAAACGGTCATAAGTCACTTTTTTCAATGCCGTCATCATTTCAGATCAGATACAGATTAAGAGAGTTGGAAGAGACCTTATAGGTCACCTAGTCCAACCCCCCGTCCAAGCGGGAGACCCTACACCATTTCAGACAGATGGCAGTCCAGCCTCTTCTTGAAACCTTCCAGTGATGAAGCTCCCACAACTTCCGAAGGCAAACTTTGTTCCATGGATTGATTGTTCTGTCAGAAAATTTCTCTTTATTTCCAGGTTGAATCTCTCCTTGTTCAGTTTCCACCCATTATTCCTTGACTGGCCTTCTGGTGCTTTGAAAAATAGCTTGACCCCCTTCCTCCTCTCTATGGCAGCCCCTCAAATATTGGAAGCTGTTATCTTGTCCCCCCTGGTCCTTCTCTTCCCTAGACTAGCCAAGCCCAGTTCCTGCAACGGTTCTTCATATGTTTGAGCCTCCAGTCCCCTAATCATCCTGGTTGCTCTTCTCTGTGCTTTTTCTAGAGTCTCAACATCTTTTTTATAATTTATATTATTTTATAATTTTATTTCGAACGGTCACTAAACAAACTGTTGTAAATTGAGGATTACCCATACTAATACTACGGTTGAGGCACACACACCAAGACCAACCATGGTTAAAACCATCCAAGGTTAGGAAAAGCAGGCTGGGCAACCTGGCAGGGTTTGAAATGAGTGGTAATTTAGGCAACAGACGAGTGGACATCAACAATCTCTGCTTTCCCCCCATTTTTTTTTTTTAAATTGT